CATGCAGACGCAACGATGCATATTCCCGAGTTAATTGGTTTGGTAAATCCGCCTGCCACTGCTTGCAAACTACATGACGTCTTTAACACTAGCAATACGATCCATGTAGGTAACAAAACGAGAGATCCAACGTGTTGGATCTTGCGATGCATACATTTAGCCAGGTACGCTAGTAAGTAAGTAGAAAGAAACCCTTCGGCCACGGATGGTGATCCGTAACTTTCTGTGACCAAATATCGTCACCACAAGCTTCAATGTTGTATCCTCAGTAACAAAACTAGAAGCTGGTACTACTCTCGAAGCTATTTACCCGTTCCGGCGCAGATCATCGTTGGCATGCAAGACGTTTCCGAGTCAGCCCTAGGCTTCCAAGGAGATTGGCACTGGTCAGCAGGTCGGTTGGACTGTCACTTCGCTTCGCTTTCTTACAAGGTCCCTTATGTGAAATGACTTCATCAATTATTTTGTCGGGCTCGTAGCTTATCTTCACAAGGATATTTTTCATCCTTGCCGCATCCTAAAATCTCTTTTAGCCCTCGACTAACTTAACGACGGCGTCGGGAATCGTAAGAGACCCCATCCTACGCCGTAGCGGCGGGGTCAATGAGCGGCGTGGGACATTACCGCATTCAGCCTCACCAACTACTAGATCTTGGCAGTCGGTCCGGTCATGACCTACATCATAAGCTTGGTTCGATCACTTTATCTCAGAACACGAGAATTCCGAGCATGCCGTTGATGACGCGGGTGCTGATGCGAAATGCTACGTGTAATACGATGAAGACCTCTTGTCAGTCCGCTACGAAAGGATATGAAAATTCGGTGTGAGAAAGTAAAGCCTATCTACTACTCCTACCGCATATGTAGGGTGAAAATAGAAGTGCTACTGCTTTACTGCTGTGCAACATATCGCACTACATATAATATATAGCCCACGTGCAGTTTCGGTCTACTTAATTGGTTTGCTTCCATACTACTCGGGTCGGGATTCACAAGCCGGCCAGTTTCTTCGTATCCTACATGCACAAATATACCGAATCCATCGCGACATGTGAACATTCTCACTCATCTTAAGATTAGAGTAGGCTTGACGACGACATACGTCTCTAGCTTTACTCATAAGACCTCTTAATAAGAACTTTATCCTCTAGAATAGCTTTTCAAAAAGATTTCCCCTAAGTATCCGAATCTTGACGTCTCGTTAAAGTTATTTCGCATTAGGTGGAGGCTTACCAACGGTATAAGGGCAATCATCCAGCGCGGTACGTAGCCGTTGAGATATCCCTAGCGTCCAGTCTAATTAACAGGTATATGCATGTTTATGTAGTATACACTACGCACAACAGAGCCAAGCCCGTCCAGAACACGACTAGAAGTTACACCGTCGTAAGCCCTTACGATATGAGACCTCATAAGTGGGACGCTATTATCAAGGAGATTGTGAAGAACGCCGTGTTCGGATTTCCAGTTAAGGCCCAAAAATAATAGGGTTGTGTCCGCATAAAGATAGGGGCACTAATAACTCCGGTAAAGTATGGGTAAGTCGATGCAAACAAATCTCCGTAGTCGCTGGTGTCGCAAAATAATGACGAATCACCAATAAATGGACCTGACGGCTTTAACTATATGCTGTGTGTTTCAAGCTGGAGACGTCCGGACCACCCCGTCATGCTCAAACGGGTATGCTGTAAGACAATATGAGCCTCGGTAAACCAGGTCGTCCTACACCTATGTATCCCTTGATTCAACAAGTTTATGAGTAAAATAGAAGACCTCATTGGAACTAGAAACAACTATAAGTGAGATAAACAACCCATTCAACCATATACCCTACATAAAGATGAATAATCTACTTACCCTCACATTCCAAAAGATTGTCTGCTGTGTCTAAGTTTAAATCGAGTGGTTTAAAGATATACGTACCTGGGTACCTACCTGCCTACGTATGCCTTCTACTACTCGTAAACAACAAATAAGTATAATGCGTTATACTCTAATGTTTAATTTCAATTATCCTCATAAAGAATGATTTTTTTAATATAGCCGTCCTAGTTTACATTATAGATTATAATTTAATATGACCCAGTCGGGCACTCCTAACCATCCAAGCAAGCAAAAAATAATAACTTCGAATAAAGAGTTTCCTTGGCATATATGAAGGTCCTCGTTCAGGACTATCATAACAAAAGCTAAGTTCAAGAATAATGCCCTGAGCAAGAGACATATTGTTCTAAACTGCCGGCGATTATATAATATGCTTTATAGCAAGCTGGTAGCCTCGTCATCTTTTATGCCAATCGCGTTGTATCTATTGTCGATGAGACGCCTTAGTTCTAATAATAAAGAAGTGCCTATCAAAGACTTCCGTCGCCTCCAAGAACTTCTTCACAAATATGAGTGAAATACTGCCCGAGACTTTAGTAGAATTTCTGAGATGTAATACATTCAATGACCTTTCAGATGACCCAGAGATGTCATCCCAGCGCAAGATCTTCTGGCATCAGCTAGGCCCGTCCAACGCAGGATTTTCTGAGGGAGATATTGAGTTCATGGAGCACGAAGAATACCTACGAACGAAATGGCCATGTTCGGAAGCTATGCCAGAATCATTTGACCCGGACACGTTAGAATCCTCTAGGCAAGCTCAGTTTAAAGGTCATAATGAGGGTACAAGTGCAACTGAGAATAGTGCTGAGGTTCTCTCAAAGAATGACACCAAGTTACACGATTCGAATGCTGAGGGACAATGTAAGGTGGACGAACAGGTGTCATATGTAATACACCTCGAAGAAGCAAACGCCTATAATGAATCCGTCTTCGTAGATGTAATACTTCCTGAACCACTAGACTCGGGCGAACAACTTGAAGACTACAACAGAGAAGTAATCGTAAAGGACGTATCAGCAAGAAACATCTTACAGGTGAGTCAAGGCTCCTATGCTATGTCTATAGCCGGTGACATCTGCGGTTCGGAATTGGTATCGGAGTTGATACCGGAGCCAGACCCCGTGGAGCGTAAGCCGACTCCGCGCATGGGATCGGGGTCTAAACCACCACTTTCTAGAAGTGCATACGCCGCAGTCGCGCAACCTTGTCCTAAGGACGGATACCTGGACAAGCGACCTTGCATGACGTTAATGGGTTATCCTCGGGCGCCGAAATACTTTCCATTTAAGAGTAGAGTAGGAAGTAAGAAGTGATGCAATTCTTACTCTGGCGTAGGTAGTGACTAAGGACTCCATGTATGGAAGTATTGAACTTTGCAACAACGACAACTTAGGTATACCGAAATTTCACATTGATGAATAGAACAATGAGAATGACTTTTTGCAATTAGGTCTATTACAGCTTTTAAGTAGCACCCAATAGAATAGACAATGAAGACAATAAATCATATCATATTATAGCCTGTATCATTAGCGCTCTAAGAATAAACAACTAGACTCCTCGACTTGGAGGTGTTGAATCGACCTGCCTAATAAGGAAAAGAAGCTTGAGACAGGGGTACGCAAAGGCGCCATGGACTCGGGATCAAATCAACAGTGATAAGATCAGGTCGAGTCGAGATCTAATTTAAAAAGGTATGTCCCCTATCCTTCCTATTTGGTCGAACCGACCGCATCAACACTCAGCCTTCGGTGAAGATCGCGATCGTGACTCGTGAGCACGCGCGAGTGAAGCAATCATGACGCGTCTATCGTGGATTACCCTGCTGGGTATCGCTGCCTTGGCGAGCTTAAGTGCCGGGCTATCAACAACCCCGACGGCCATCGCGTTCCCGAAACCCGCATGGAAACATCTCCCCACGGGAAGCGACGCGCGTTTCCGCGGCCTAGCACCCGTGTCGGATAAGATCGTGTGGGTATCAGGAACGAGCGGGACTGTTCTCCGCTCCACAGACGGCGGCAACACGTGGGAATCCGTCGGCCCCGAACTATCGGGCACAGATTCCGCATTGGAGTTCCGCGACATCGAAGCGTGGTCCGCGGATAAGGCCGTCGTACTGTCAATTGGCGAGGGCAACAGCTCGCGCATCTACGTCACAGATGATGGCGGCGCGACCTGGGCACAGTCGTTCACTAACCAGGAGCCGACTGCGTTTTACGACTGCATCGCGTTTGAGAACGCGAAGCGGGGGATGGCGATGAGCGACCCTGTCGACGGGAAGATCCGGTTAATCGAGACGCGTGACGGCGGCGCAAGTTGGGGTGTTGTCGACTCTGGCGGCATGGTCCCGGCGCTCGAAGGCGAGTCGGGGTTCGCCGCGAGCGGAACGTGTCTTGCAACAACGGCCGGCCGCTGGTATGTTGCCTCGGGGGGTGTCAACCCTGGCCGTATATTTAGGAGTAGTGATGGGCACCACTGGGCCGTTTCGGATGCTTCTATAGCCGGCGGCGAGGGTTCCGGTGTTTTCTCGGTACAGTTCCGCGATGCGAAGCACGGCATTGCTGTTGGCGGAAACTATTCGGCGCCTACGGGAGCTATTAGCAATGCAGCGTGGTCAAAAGACGGTGGCGTAACTTGGGTCCCGTCTACGTCGTTTCCCGGCGGTTATCGCTCTGGGTCTTCCTGGGTTCCTGGACGTTTTAATATGGCTCTTGCGGTAGGCCCAACAGGATCAGATTATACTCTCGATGGAGGCAGGAATTGGCATGAGTTTGATAATAGTAGCTTGGATAGTGTGGAGTGTGTAAAGAGGGATGTCTGTTGGGCATCTGGGGAAAAGGGCGCGGTAGCATGCCTCGTGTTTGTATAAACTTTGAACATTGTAATAGTGAAATATAGTATAAGCTCAATAAGAATAATTTTCTCCCTCAGATCTTTTAAAGAGGTACGAAGTATTTCTATTGTCTCGGAGTATTAATTACAATGTTTAAAATGAGAAACTCCCTTTCTATGAACCCGACTTCTCGAACATGTTCGACCTCAACCTACTACATACCTAGGTACCTATCCCCTTTACTAGCTTTCCGATGGGAATCAAAGGAGAAAGGTACCTTTCATTTAGCTAGGGTCCAATCGAACCTGTATCCGCAATTAGTGCCTATAGTAACTGAGTATTAGCAGACGTTTTGAGTATTGAAGCACGATATGCTTGCAAGGTAAGCCATACAATACATGTGGTCACTAGAAAGTACTCTATTAGCAAGCTTTACTTTGACACTTATTTTCGCCTTGGTAGATATACTCACCAGCCGCCGTCCTTTAAAATTTCAACAGCGCAATTCGGGCAGTGTTTGATGACACGGGCTGTTGCGGCCTCTTCTGCTCTTAACCTATCTTTAATATGCTGTTGAATTTCCTGTTTTCGTTTCTTCTCAGCTGCTCTCTGTGTCTTTTTCCGTGACTGGACATTGAGGTTGAAGCTCTGAGGGTCGGCAAGGAAGGCATCATATTTCTCGCAGGTGAGATCGTGGTGCCAGACGGTCCCATGGCGAAAGCAGAAATATACATTATCTCTGGGGCAGAAAGCCATAGGCGATATTTCTCCCGGGTAATGTACTTGTCCTTTTCCACAACCAAGGGGACACCATACAAAATTGTTCGTACTAGAAAGAATCCTTTCGATTGTTCGTCTCTTATACCTTTAGTAGTATGTTAGAGTTTATGATTGTTTGAAATTAGGTAGTTATTCGCGAAAACTACCTGTATTTTGACTTGAAGATTTCAACTCACTGAGAAAATAAGTCCTTATCTCCAAAGGAGTTAACTGTTGCGTGTCTTAATTCCCCTTTACATTCAGGACACATAAGCCTATCTACAGCGACATCCCGAAGTTGAGAGTTGATACATATTGTGAGGCATTTGAAGCAGTAATTATGATGGGCACAACTCTCTGTCAATGGGCCTTCTGGAAAATCAGCAATCGACTTGTTTTCAAAGCATACAGGGCACAGCATTGCCTAGATCTGGTAGTCATAAGATTTCGGGTTAATGATTCTGGTTGATCGATAATGGGGTATTGTTTATTGACTTAAAATGTTTCAGTACCTAAGTTATATAGTATTCACCTCGGCACCTAGACATTAGGTGATTCTTCGATGTCTTTTATTTCTTTGGCCTTCTGGTAAGAAATTGGGATTTCTAAGACTCGTACTCCCGAAGCTAGGTTAACAATATCCTTTAGTTTAAACATTAAGGAGCCCTCGATAGACTGAAAGCCTTTACTCGATAGAATGATCTTACATCGTTTCTACAGATAACCAACGATTGATCGAAAACTCCTTTTTATCCTAGAAAGTTGTAGCACTTTCTTCCAAAGCACACGGTACAAGTAAAATTTACATTGTATATCTCAGGTATGTACATGTCAGGTATCCATACCTTCAAAACACAAGTGAGGTAGATAAGCAAACTTCAATCTTTTCCTTGGCACTTACCTACCTACATACAGTAGGAAAACAAATCGTCTAAAATATTAAACCAGTGAATTCCAATCAATGCCGGTCAGTTGACCCAGAATACGTGGGAACTACGTCAAAGAAAGGTGTGAGTAGGCCTATGTGCGAATAACACTGTGGCGAGTTGGGTACCTTACTTACCTACGGTCAGGAGGTAGGTCCTTAATCAGATACGTAACATAATCTTCTCACGTCTTATCCTGACACTACCTACAGTCTGATCTTCTACCTGGATATCTGAGGAGGGCTGCTGGGGTCATTTTGCTTCGAGATTATTTATAGGTCGCTTCAAAAACTACCTCGACCAACTTTACCGCCCAAAGTCTACTCTTCAACGTACTTCAAACTCGCGGTGTATATTATTCATATTATTTTCCCAACTATCAGAACACGATGGCTTCGAAGCATCTCCCCACTAGACAGATGCCTACTCGGCAATTACATCTAGGCCCTTCTATGACAGGGGTCCTCAAGATCGTGGACTTACCCTGGGCTCATAATAGCGAGAACACACGCTACGAATCCCCTTTCGATATACTTCCAGATGAATTACTCCTCGCTATTGTAGAGTTTGCGACTAGCCGTAATAGACACCTCTATAGCGACTGTTGTTTCGGTTGCCCAAATGGCCGAACTGCCCTGGCGTTAACGAAGGTTTGCCGTCGTTTAAACCGTTTAGCGACACCACTCCTTTACAGTCACATGAACCATTACCTGCCCCCCGCCGACGGTTGCGAGTCTTTACGTCGTTCCTGGTCACATCATCGACAAGACTGTAAACACCTAAGGATCGATATCGAGAATCCGGGAATTCTGACCAAGGCTGACTGGCTTGTTCTAAATGACTACTTCAGGGGCTACAGCCGAGTAAGATGCCTGATAATCAAAGGCAGATTCGACATATCTATTGATGAGACATGGCAGCTAGTTTCCGATATTTTGACTCATATGCCAACTTTAGAGCACCTCACAATCAAAAAAGATTACTCTAGCCCTCCGTTCCCCGGATCTATGTTATCGTCTCTGATGAAACACGACACCGTCTCGAGACTTCAGGCCTTGTCACTTTGGAATATAAGAAATGCTGGATCGACAGAGACCATTGAAAACCGAGATAACATGGCTGCTTTGAGAGATCTTAGAATGTATGGTTTCGAAAAGGATGGCGGAGCTATGGAACGTTTGATCCGATGGCCTAAACGGCTTCGGTCTTTCACTCTTGGGCACAGCTTCTACGACGACGACCAAGACTATATGGACCTAACCATGCTCGGCTCCTGGCTTTCGGTTCACATAGAGACACTCGAAGAAATAGATATCGGCCCTTTATCGCCCTCGGGTAAAGGTAATATCTTCGACTTGACCCAATATCGAGAACTGAAGAGCCTTGGGCTTTCCAGATATTTATTCTCGGATGATCTGGAATCTTGCGAAAGCGACGCGAATCTGATACTCGCACCGGGGCTTGAAGAATTCTATTGGTATTTCGCTCTTTCCAATGGCTTTTTTAGGGAACCCTGGAATGCATTTGGAGAAAGAGAAGAGCGATGGCTACAAAAGCTTGTGGATGTAGCAGTGTCAAAGTCATCGCCACTCAAGAGGATCTGCGTTATCTTTAAGCCCGACCAGGGTTATGCCACGGAGACGTGGCCCTGGGATCATTTAGTCAGACTGAAAGAATATTGCCGTCAATTCGGCATTACTCTCCATTATAGCAGACCACCCTTCGACAGGGGTGAGTGGATGAAAGTAGTCTCCGCGAACCCCTCCGCGAACCCCCGCGCAAACGACGGAAGAGACATTAGGGAATACTTCACGCGGCTCAACCTCGACCATCCATAATACTCCGTGGCGCTAGAATTGCGGCTCCTTTCAGGCAGTGTCAACTACACATGTTGGTGCCTGATATGGCAACGGGAGACAGATAATTCTGCGGTTTGCGGCAAATCTAGCCGCTAGCAGATAGATAGCATTGAGGTAGATTTGTAGTTGAAGCTATCGAGAGAGTAGAATTATTTCATACTACTCTGACATCGCTTCCGACATGGTAACATCGGCCGCTTGGCAACTCCATGCTACGACGTATGCGATATAGAAGACCCTGCTTTAGCCATCTGCATGAGGAAAGTCGGCATGAAATGCAGCCAAGAGAAATAGTCATGTGCAAGTTAATCTATCACGAATTTCAAATGTCATCCATAGATAAGGTATTCTCCACAGCGTGCGGCTCTATATAACGTAACGCTATGTCCTACTCTAGGCTCTTGAGCCGGTGAATCTTATCTCCAAGGACATTGGTTAGGTCACAATGATGTCCCTTAAGTTTCTAGCACTCAATGCCATAGCATCATTCGTTGTAGGATCTCCCGTGCCTTTCCCTAGGAGCTTCCACATTTCCGTGAGGGAGGACAGACCATTCAATGCGAGTCTCCCTAATGTAACTATTTTCGCGACTGGAGGCACGATCGCAGGAAGCGCGAGCTCAAGCGATCAGACTGCTGGGTACAAGGCCGGAGTGCTTGGCGTTGATGGCCTAATCGATGCCGTGCCGCAGCTGCGAAACGTATCCAATGTCCGCGGGGTTCAAGTAACGAATGTCGCATCGTCAAGTATCACGCCCGAGATTCTTCTCAATATAACACGGCAAATACAGAAAGAGCTAGATAGCCCGAACTGCCAGGGTGTCGTAGTGACACATGGCACCGACACGCTCGAGGAATCCGCCTTCTTCCTCGACCTAACGTTGCGCTCCGAGAAACCCGTCGTCATCGTCGGCGCCATGCGCCCCGCCACAGCTATCAGCGCTGACGGACCAATTAACCTACTCGAAGCCGTAACCCTGGCCGCACATCCAGACGCCCGAGGTCGGGGCGCTATGATTGTGTTAAACGACCGCATCGCAAGTGCGTTCTTTACAACGAAGAGTAACGCGAATTCTCTAGACACATTCAGAGCCGCTGAGCAGGGATTCTTGGGCTTCTTTTACAATATCAAGCCCAAGTTCTACTTCGCACCCGCACTACCGTACGGAAAGCCGTATTTCGACGTTGGTAATGCGACTTGCCTTCCGCAGGTTGATATTCTGTTCGGCCATCAGGGACTTAACCCCGCTCTAGCGTCTGCGGCTGTTGCGAGTGGTGCTAGGGGTCTTGTGCTTGCTGGCATGGGAGCGGGATCATGGACTCCGGAGGGATCGGATGTTATTGATGATGTCGTAGAGAAGAGTGGCACAATTGTGGTTGACTCGCGACGATCGATGGATGGTTACGTCCCGCCGTACGGCCCTGGTGGGTATGGGGGTGGTCTTCTGAATCCCCAAAAGGCGCGCATCATGCTGCAATTAGCATTGAATGCCGGATATACGAGTGCTCAGATGCAGAGTCTATTCGAGTTTGATGGATAGACTATGAAGTGATCAGTTCCAAACGACGTCGCGGTGTATTCTACAGCGATTGAAAATTAATTGTGCTGTCCATAATTCAGCTCTTATTAATATCTAGGCGCTGAAGCCCATGCTCATCTAGCATTATATTATATTAAAAAACAGATACAAACCCAACAAGTATCGCGACGAGGAGTGATAGTGGTAAATCGAAGAAAGCTGAAGCGCGCATGGCTATCATACTCGCCCCCTGGGATTTATCGCTGTTGGCTGTGCCGGGAGAAATATTGCCTGCTGAGTTCGGGTCGATTGTGAATGTTCGTTTTGCCGCAGATGCTAGGGCGTTATTGGCAAAATCCGAAGACCTCCAATCTGACCAATCGTGTGTCAATAAGCCCCTAATGAAATTTGATTGTTAGATTGATGTTTTAGCATTCCAAGGGCAATGCTAAGCTACATCATATGTACTACAGCAAGGAAGGGATGTTACGAAACTTACCAGCTTTCATCGTGATCCTGAGTTCCTTCGCGGATATAGTAGCTTCCCCCTATTTCCCAGATCATCCAGCCAGCATTCGCCGAAGGTACATAATCTAAGAGGCATGAGATATATGGGTCTTGCGCCGCTGTGCCATTCTGTACGAGACCGAACTCCGTCAAGACAACTGGGAACTGATTCTTAGCTTCGTCTGTCAAGGCCTTGAATCCAGCATTAAACAATTTGACTTGAACCGTAGTACAGTTGCTAGGCCCAGGTCCGAAGATGTTGTCGTATGCATGCAGCTCAAGAACCAGTTTATTCGCGAAACCTGAGAAATCGTCTTTATTAAACGTAGCCGATCCGGGTGTGAGTGCTGTTCCGTTAACTACAGGGCTTAAATCTAGATCTGAATCTAGACCTGAGAGGAATATCAGGACATCTTCATTGGCTTTATGAATGGCGCTTGAGCCTTGTTTGATATAAGTATACCAGCGTTCCCAGCTGTAGGAGCTGCTGGCAAGTGTAAGGTTGTTCAGGGGTATGCGAAGCTCATTTCGCAGAGACATCGACGTAAGGCTTGGCCATGTTTTCCCCTAGTCGGCATTAGTAACATGATTTATTGTTGACCAAGATGCGACTATACAGACATGAGTTGCCATGAAAGATAGGCCTCGGGTCCAGTTCTCAATGTTAAAGAATTCGTCCCCCCACCAGGAGTTCCCGTCAAGGGGGCTGCAGCACCAGCCAGCTTTTGAGATATGGTTATCTAAATGGACATAGATCTCTTGCTTCGCACACTCAGCCGCAATAGCGTCATAAACCTTTGGATATCCCATTAGCTTTGAGAATTTAGCGTGCGACTTAATAAATGCCAACTAACCTGTAACCGCGTCGTCTTTGCATTCAAAGACGGGTTGTTGGTAATGATCTTATCGTACACTGCCTTTCCACCATCCTGTCCCAAAGCATCGGTGAGAGCCTTCTGAATCGTTACGTCGGTCTCCCCATTATCATAGTATTGATCTATCATCTCAGTGGCGTATGTGAGCCGAATCGTGTTCATGCCTAGACTCTTGATCCGGGAAATGATTGATTCAATAGACTGATACTGTAGACCTTCCGGGATCATGGTGTCGAGCGATCCCGGCCAGTTAACGCCGACATAGGTGACGGTTGAGCCGGCGGCATCATGGATCCACCGGTCCGAAGTGACGAAAGGCCCGTTCGGCCAAGTCGCACGCGGCGCATTTGATGAAGCGAAAACTCCAACGATGGTTAGACAGGCGGCTAGCCAATACCGCCATATACGATTTGCCATTTTAAACGAATGTCGGTGGAGTTGAAGTTGAAAAGTTCAAACCCATAGCTATTATGTTTCCACGCCCGACTTTTGATTTATCATACACACCCAACCAATACGAGCATTTCAGCGGGCGCATAATCGTTTCATCAGCACCGTTTCGTATTTATAGCCAAGAAAGGTGACATGTTAAGCCGATCTCCCAACGAAACCATTTTCATTGGATGATAGTTCCCGATCTGTAGTGGGGATAGGCGTATCGAACAGTCAAAGATCTGCTAACTTTAGATACTCGGATGGCATGGATTCGTATTTTTCTTTATCATCTTCATTAGGTACGGATGTATCATAGAGGTTAAATCGTTGTTGGGCTAGCCCTATGCCAACCATAAATTTTAATTTAGGATGAGAAGAATGTGAAGGTAAAATGGAAAACGTATAAAAAATGTATAAGTCGCCAGGATTTGCATTTCTTTAGGTACCTAAGGTTAGGTACTTGCCTTAGCGTTAGTCTAGGTACATACCTACACGTGCGCATAGGAGGTACCGCCTGTGAATCAGCTTATCTAATACAAAAAGATTTGTAAGTAGGTACCTAAGGGACCTGGCACATTTTCCGAGCCAAACTCAGTTCTCAACATCCTTTTCCTCATTCTTGTCGGAATATTCGTCTCAGTTCTCGCCGGTTAATACGCTTCGCTTGAACGCTCCCCATCAGGAACGAAAAACATTTAGTTTATTGGTGAACCTTACAACTAACGAAAAGAGCCAGTACTGTTATCGGCAACCGTAGTCCGGTTTGTCAAATACATTAACCTAGGTACCTGAGGTATGAACGTCGGTGAGGCTCCCAATGAGCATCTTCCATAACATGTTTAAATATCATGCCGACGTCAAAACACGCGGACACTATCGATATACTCCGTTCGCCATTTCCAGCTAATACCGCTCGTTATTGGTAGCCATGCGCTGTGCACAGGGAACCGATTAGGTCTCCTGCAGAGGCTAACACCACCAGGCTGAGCTTACAAGGGAATGGGACTTCCCCTCGTCTTGAACTAACCCTATCAGCGTCGGGAGTACATAATTCGGAGGTTTCAAGTAAGCAAGTTAATAAGCTAGTTGAAGTTTGAACTGCTATTCAAGGTGGCCATCCCATATCGAAATTAAGCAGGTCCGGAACCTCGGTTGGTGTGGGGAACGTGGTATAGTCGAATTGTGATATGGTCGAGGGATCTGCCATGTCCAGCAAATACTTTTGGCCAGGGTTGGTTGAGATGTCTTCTAATAGTTCTGCAGATTCGCCTACGACGGATTGTGAGTTATGGTCTGCTATAACTCCGCTTAGAGTTGTATCCACCCGATCTTCTAGACCTGTCGTCTGGCTAAAGATATTGACTGTGTGTGGGTTGTTGTCTCCATATACCTCATCTTCTTTTCTAGGATCACGGTACTCGTTTCCTAGTGGATTGTCGATCTTGCTCCTCTTGTCTGCTGCTTGCTGCCGACTGCTTTGCATCGCAATACCTGAGTCTAGCGTTGGCGATGAGCGAAGACTGTGAGAAGCGCTGGCTGGCTCGAGGGCTTTTGCATTATCACTCATCCACTGATCGATGATAACTTGCAACCCCTCTCCTAACACCTCCTCTTTAAAAGTATCCAGGTCCCTTTCTTCGCGGGGGAGATTCCAGGTCACTACTCCCCTCGCTTCTAGAAAATCGGCCAAAAGAGCCGGTCCTTGGGCTGTCATAAAATCTTGGAAAACACATAAGTCGTCGGAGAGCTCTCGGTCACGGTAAGGTGTCCTTGGACGCGGATGTGGGGAAAAGATAATGTCAAAGACTGCAAACCATTGCTGCTCCTCCGGCATCTTAGACGACACTCTCTGGCTGAGTTCCCTTTTTTGCTTCTCTGAGATACCTTCCATTATGGCGGAAGGTCGAGGCGTACAACTCCTCAGCCCGATATGCAAATCCCTCTCGTCTTCATCCTTAAATGTATCGTTACAAATTGGGCAGTGTATTGGTTTGCGATGGCATCGTGTTACGTGCTGTTTAACATCACGAACCCTAGCCAGGAAATATCTATAACAATCCTTATAGCGGACCGGGTCCTTCTTGGCATAAGGACAAGCTAGCCATAGTCGGCGATCTTGTGCTCGTCGCTTGGTAAAACTCCTTTGGCTTTGCTTTTCTCCGGTAATGGTTGAGGTACAGCCCGACAAGCGATTACGTTTACGCGGCCGGTTATCTCCATGCTCATGTTCAACTAATTCAGATGAAATTTCGGTGCTGTCGATTATTAAGGCGCTTTCATCCTGCTGACGCCCCCACGGGTCCTTGTAAGCTGTCATGACCACTTGTAGGAACGAGTCCTTCCACCGGAATAACGGATGTTCCTCTTCAATTGGTGGCGTATCTGCGGAATAGCCTGAATTTGGTGTTTCAGAGTCGTCTGCTTCCCATAAGAATGTAATGTCGTATCCAGAACGTCCCATCGTCTTGTGACAACGGGAATAACGTGATACAACACTTCTCACCAAGATAAGACCATGCTTTACGAACCATCAAAACATCTCATACAATAGAATCCGCATACAACTGACCTGGTTCAGTAGTAGATTTATCCTACATAATCTAGAGCGGATAATGTCGGATTTTGTGGCGACGAAGTTTCGGGGAATCACCGAATCAACCAAATCTACCTAACGTATGCTAAGACGCGGCTAGACATTTTGTCCATGCGGCTCAGCATGTATATATGCGTGCAGAGCACTGTAGTGCTCTTATGCAAGTTTGTTCTGGTGGCTCGGATCCTGGTTCTTCGTTATTGGATAGCATCTCGTTCGCTCCGCATTATCATGGTTGCCTTATAACGGGACCGACCGTGTTACACGTCCGTAATTTTGAGCCGCGCTCCATCTTTCTGACGGAGGCGCGGTTTGGCCCTATACTCCCCGCATCTCTTCCTCTCTATTATGTCCGTCCCGTCCTAAGACCCAAGTAACGGGGCACGTCAAGTTGCGGCCACGCCAAACTACCACGAACGAACCGTGGACTATAACGAACAAAATAATAAATTAGGCCAATCGTGGAAGTACCTTTCACACTTCACGGTATTATTTTACTTTATTATCATTATTGGAGCGAGCTAACAGTAAATAAGTAGGTTAAACAAATTGTCTTAATTGACTAGAGCCTTTGAATTTACCAATCCTCGCATCTTCTTGCCGTTCAGTACAGGTCACGAATCGGTGTCTTGCCACAAACAGTTCGTAACATGGCGTCTTAATGCAGAGTAACATGGGCGGAGAATATTCTCCAATCGTCAAAATATCGAATTTGCCACACGAGGCAGACGAAGGTAGCTTCATACTTGGTTGACGTTCAGCGAGGCTCGCATGGGCGATAGTCAACATTAATGGGATTTTCTTCACTTTTTTTATGTTTTATTAATTAGATATCTACGTGAAGCAATCTTTCACTGCCACTTCTAAGTGCTGTTTCGTCCGATAAGATGAATCTGTTCATAATTTCCTGCGCCTGCAGCCTACTGAATAAGTTGCATATAATTGGCCATTATTACGACGTCTTCCTCCCCCTGCAGCAGCTGGTTGCGGGTCCAGGTCTGATGATTTTATGTAGGTACACAGCCTACCAAGGCTGAGTCCTGCCAAATTAAAAGTTGTTACTCACTCCCTCGGCCTAGATTTTTGAGCATATCTTATAGACTATTCTCTGATTCATCGATAACTTCGCTACGTCAGATATTAGATCCCATTAGGTAAATCCTTAAGTGTCTATCAGCATGCAGCATTCCAGTCCACACATAAATTCCGCTTCAGGGGATTCACATATTCCATCTTATATGGACAACGCCAAAAGCCTCTCTTCCGTAATGGCGAGAGCAAATGAATCGCCGAGAAGGGCCGCCGAGCTAAGCAGTCGTTCCCGGCTTGCAGAAGACTTGGAACCACTCCTTGGGTACCCTGATGAGCACCATTCGCCCTCCTCGGATGAAAACCCCGCAGCCGAGCCTCTTCGTAAGAGACCCTACGTAGGCGGCTTAGCTATTATTGTTCTTTGTCGGCTTTTCAACACCATATTTGCCGCTTGCACGATAGGCAAGGCGATCAATGTGATCGGTGACGGATGGAACTACTGGATCAATATATTCCTTTTCGGCATATGTTTGGTTATCCCAGTCTGGAATATTTTCGCTCTTACCACAAGTATTGTTAGCTACCCGTTTTGCTCGATCTTTGGGCGCAAAAGGGGGGAGTCCGTGAGTGGCTTCAGAGATAGGCTACGCATCCGGTTCGCTTGTAATGATGCAGTTCTGGGCCTGATTACTCTGGGCCTGCTCGCCATCGCGTGTCACGCTATAAGTTCTCATTGGGGAGAGCGGTTCGTAGGGCTTAGACCACCTATTATAGCGATGGTGTCGGTCCTCGTGTAAGTTCGTCCCTTTATATCATCCAGGTAGTATTCGGTACTATAAAATTCCAGTTGCATAGTTCTAACATAATAAACTAGTGGTGCGGAGTTCTTTACAGCAATGATGCAGCTACAACGATGATCCAATCGTTCAGATTCTCAACGATGCTTTGTATGTACCTGTCTCGGGAGTAGTGAGATACATTACAGCAAGGTATGTCCTTAAGGGATTGGCTTGTATAGATAATGGAAGTTTAATGAACGACGTGGGTGATGCTATATAGTATAGAGACCCTTCCAGCCCGTACCAAGGTTCTGAAAGGTCATTGAAGAACAGCATTAGTCAAGCTAACCTGGGAGCACTATAAATAATCAGATGACAAATTCGTGTGGCAAGGGAACAATTATGATAGTCCGAGTCACGTTCTCTCGGATAACAACTAGGATGGTCAAACTCGGAGTCAGACGCCGAAGGTTATGTAATACTACGCACGTTAAGACAAAGCAATCGAGTTGCAGTATTCAAAACTCGTGGTTAAATGATTGGCTGATGCAAGACTGAAGTCCAAGCGAAGTATCAGAACGGCTAAGACACTAGCGCGACCGAGGATACCTACGTCAGGTATAGATGTGCTGCTTCAACGGAAACTCACATATTATGCGTAGGTAGGTACCTACTTAGTTATAGGTTTTATAGAGAAATATGAAATATCCAAGTAGGATTAGGTTAGCTTCAATGAGAAAGACAAATATTCCAAATGACCTTTTCTCTCTTAAGTGTGTCTAATGACCTCAATGACATCAGATGAGATACAGGGGAGGTAGGTACTTCAAGTAAACCCTTATCCCGTTAGCTCCGAATGAATGAAACCTGGGGCCTTGTGCGACAATACCATGCAAGGTGCCCTGAAAGCTTATCTGAATTGTTTGGAAAAGTACTACATACTATGTATAAAATACAGTGGATTAGGCTTGGTCATCTACCATCTACCATCTATCCGTGTTATCCAGGTACCGGCATGTGTACTCCGTTATCGATCGCACTAACGTCACCCACCTATTTATTGATGCAACCTCCCCTAAAAGCCAGGGCTGCTGGGTGCTGGGTGCTGGGTGCTGGGGCAAGTCAAGCCAACCAGACCAACTTTACTAACTTCGAGCCTACCCACTTTGAAGACCCTCGACTTTCTTTCCTCAGCTAACCCACATCGCATTTATTACACTACCTCGCTACGTATACCACCTCATAATAATTCTCCCCTCAAACCACCAAGAGGTGTGTCATCGCCATCCAGATATTCAATCTATATCACCAGGCGAAACTTGCGAGCTGGTCATCCCAGCCCGGGGTAACTCAGCCGCTATAGGGGTTTGCTATATTCTATCTTGATATTCATCTCTTCGATAAGAATTCTTCTAGATCAACTCATCATCTAGAAGTCATCTTTAATCGCATCCCATCCCTCATCCCACCAAGAGTATCCCACCAAAAAGTTATCATCATGGCTACAGCTCCTCCGCCCACCGCACACGTTGATGAGGACGTCCCTCAAAATGAAGGGTCTAAATTAAAAACCTTCATCTCTATCCTACGAAAGTAAGTAAATTCTTGCATACTGATCTTTGCTTCCCCTGAAGCAAAAGGGGAAGAAGGCAAACTCACCGCCACCGTCGGTGTCCATCCGTAATCGGAGCCACTTCGAAACACAGTGATATGCGCTTTTTTCACGCGTTTGCATTCGTTAGTAATAGGTCTTGCTGACGTCGTCTCTGTGTCCTAGGTTCATAGGTGTTGCAGATCTTGCTGCTGTGCGATTCTCTCTTCCGTCCCAGCTCCTCGAACCGACACCCAACCTGGAATACTGGAACTACCTCGACAGTCCCAGCGCGTTTGCTGCGATAGGTACATCCGACGAACCGCTAGATCGTATGCTCGAAGTCCTACGTTTCTGGTTTACCAAGGATTTAAAATATGTCAAGGGCAAACCGTGCAAACCGTATAATTCTTGCCTGGGCGAATTCTTCCGATGTAACTGGGAAGCGGAAGACAATGCGCCACGGATCGATACCAAGAGTCTGACAGCTGCTAGCAGCGGCAATGCTAGCAGTGCATCTTCGGTCAAGTCATCCAAGGCTAATGGCGACCCACGAACAGCATCCACCGTATCTGTTGTCCAGACTACAACCAATCCGTCCGGACCTATCGTTCGGATATCATACTTGACTGAGCAAACCTCTCACCACCCGCCCGTCAGTGCTTTCTACGTCAGCTGCCCCGAGAAAGGATTACATGCCAAGGGGTTCGATCAGATTAGCGCCAAGTTCACCGGTACTACTATCAAAGTATCCCCAGGCGAGCATAATCTAGGCATTTTCATTACTCTCGAGCGAAGGGATAATGAGACATATCAGCTAAAGCATCCAGCTGCACATCTTGGGGGAATTCTACGAGGCTCTCTAAGCGTGAGTGTTGGTGACTACGCCTACGTGACCTGCCCTCAGACAAAATTAAAAGCCATCCTTCATTACATCGAGGATGGTTGGCTAGGCCGGGCACAAAATAAGATGGAAGGCGTCATCTTCAAATATGACCCAGATAAGGACGACAAGACACGTATCAAGGATGTACCTGACTCGGACGTGGTTGTGAGGCTAGGTGGTGCATGGAAAGATAGAATCGTCTTCACTTTCGGTCCCAAACCTGTGGTAAGTTTGCAGAATATGTCCCATTCCTCTCATTCTAGCAGCGATATATTGACGGTTTCTATCCTAGGACTCACATCCGCCAGAGAAGCAAACAACGATCATTGACCTTAACCCGCTCACCGTGGCTCCCAAGGTTACACCACCGAAAGAGAAACAGGCCGAGAACGAGTCCTTGGTGCTATGGGACGGCGTGACTCAGGCTATCATGGCAAAGCAATTTTCAAAAGCTACTAACGTCAAGGTTGAACTCGAGGAGAAACAGCGTGAGAAAGCCAGGGAACGTGAGCGCAAGAACGAAACCTGGAAACCAGTTTTCTTCAATCAAGTTACAGACAAACGAGGAACGCCTGACCTTACAGAGAAGGGCCGCCAAGTGCTCGAGAGGGCACAGAAGGAAGACTGGAGTTTGGAAGGGATCATCTAGAACGGGCAGCATCCTTCAAGGTTAGAAACATAGCGACCGGGTAGGAACATCGAGGTTCCGCATTGCATAATAGTCCTTGGGTTACGATACATCATCATTGCTTTTTGGATGGCTTCCCTTACATATATACGCGCATACATTTACCAACCATGGGGATAAGGCATAGCGGCTTTGGCCAAAGCCGCACGTGGAGTTCTGTGCATTCGTTTAATATTTGGTTTTTTTTTTTTTTCGGGTAGACACAGATTCGAGTTTAAGCGGCGTTCAGGAGCATGTAGACGCTGATAGATAGGTCTTCTTCAGAAGTTTTTCTTTTCATCAAGACTTTCTACCATTTGGCTGAGGCATACTCAGCACAAACCTTCGTTTTTTTATCATACAGATTCTAAAGAACTTTGAACATATGTTGACCTTTTATCAAAGGTCTATATTATCCTATTTGGCTTCTCACCTCTACCTTATCCTGAAATTTACTAGTTGTAGCTGATCTACTGTATCTTCAGAGGCCAAGTAAGAAGAAATATATTGGGAATATTTAATAGTTACTTCGAGTTCGAACGAGTACAATCATAAACATGTAACCTACCTTAATCATACACCTAGGGTTTAATATCATTGAGTTCTATGATAGTATCCTCTAACACCATAATCATTGGCGGACTTCCTCCTCTATCATACTTCTAACCTATAGGTCCGTAGTGACCGCGATCTCTTCCCCAAGCGCCAAGTCCTCCAGGAATTTATCGTTAGCCTTTCTTATACGCTCCAGGGCGTCCCGGCCGAGGACGAGCCTCAACACTTTACCCTTCAGGTGTCCCGCCAAACCTTCTCCAGTCAACGTCTCGAAGATACGATCCACGCCCTTCTGGGGGTCACCAGGCTGCTTGCCGCTTTTGGTTAGCAAGACATCCCGGATCCGTGCGACGGCTGTGCCCTCGTAATCCTCAGGCAGCGGTGTCCCAGATTGGTTCAAGGCAGCGAGGAAGTTGGTCCGGAAAGAGCCCGGTTCGACAATCAAGACAGACACACCAAAGTCGGCTACCTCGGCTGCTAGCGACTCGGACATGGCCTCCAGCGCTGCCTTGCTTGCTGAGTACAGCCCGGTTGTCGGCACGTATTCCTTGGCTGCCAAGCTGCTCATGCTGACGATGGTGCCGGAACGCCGTGCCCGCATGCCTTCTAGCGCTGCTTGTATCACGTACAGTGGCCCAAAGAAGTTGGTTTGGAGTTGGAGTTGGGCTTCTTTCTCACTAGATGGCGTCAATTCTGAAACTCTTTGGAAGGTACCTGTTATTAGTGTAGGTGGTATGTTTACCTCATTTGCTCGACGGCGCCAAGGACGAGGAAGCCCGCATTGTTGACCAAGTAGTCGATTTGTCCGACCGCTTTAACTTTCCTAGTGATGCTCTCCCGAGGCTCGTTCACATCCAGCTCGATGACTTGACCTCCTGCGGATTCGATCTGTTTCACCGCGTCCCCGGACTTGGCCTTGCTGCGCACTGTTCCTATGACGCGGTGGTTGGCTTTAAGGGCTTTGAGACAAAGCAGCAGGCCAAAGCCATTGGATGCTCCTGTGATGAATTAAACAGACATTGTGGGATTTTATGAGGTTAAATTGAGTGGAGATACGAAGCCTACCTACTTACCTATCCAACTCCAATCCTTCTCTCCCTTATATACAGGTCGGACATTTGTTGGTTGTTATACCACAATGCCAGCTCCTTAAAGCAGTCAGTCCATCTAAGTCATTATCAGAAGGCACGAAATACTCAAGTGCAGTCTTTTCCATCCAACACGAAGATCTGAAATCGGATCTTGCTGTAGAAATCCGAACGACGTTGGCTTTTCGCGGATTTAGGGCTATGCTCCTACTATATAACAACTGGTCTTCGTCTGATCTGTAGGTGATAAAAGTAGCTTGCGGTGGTAAACCCCGATTTGTGAAGCTGGGTATCGGCGATGCCGACTTATCACCGACGGCGCAGAACTCAGGGAGTGACCTAGATATATATATATATAATGTGTGGCAAGCGTGACGCAATAATGCCAGCTTACCTGCACCGTATTAGAATTGTAGGTATTCAGTTTCTGGGGGGGGGGGGGGTTTGATGAAACATTAAGCTTCTATTAAGAGCCTCAAGGTCTAATGCGAGTGGTGTGGAGGTTCGCCATATAGGCCCAAGTGTCGAGCTGAAAATAGCATAAACGCCTAGCCTTCCGTCGTATCATACGCTAAGAATAAAATATATATAATATATAAAGAAGGCCCAGATAAAACAGGTATTCTTCTTATAACCCCTTATAAAGCCAGAAAGAAAAAGGGGAGGGGGAAGCTATATAATATCAGTTGAATACACAAAGAGCCTAAATTGACACGATATTACCTACTTGAATAACTAGGGCCCTTGCTTATTGCTTTTTGTTCTGACTGTTAATTAGTAAGTATAACTAGATAGCAATAGTATTTTAATTTTCTTATATTAATAGCCTGTACTAGCAACTGAGAGGTCAAGTATTGGTACAGCCACAACGACTCGACTACGGGTCCCGAGGTCACCGAACGAGACACGGCACGGGAAATCCCCGTTAAAAATCCCATTCTTTCGGTCTCCATATCGTTGTATGTCGAGTTACTACGTAAGAATTTCAACGGGGGAGGCATTATGCCTCACTTCTTCCGTAGTTTAGATACGCTAAGCTGACAACTACATTAGGTGTCAACTCACCGCATAAATATGACGCCCCGTTTTCACTTTAATACAAGCTAGAATACTTTTCATATTCAAGATTCATATGAGTCCGTTAGGTTAAGTAGTTGTCACATTAAATACGTGGCTCAGTACCCACTACTATACCCCGCTCTCACGTCTTATACTACTATAGATTACTATACAACATCGATCCGTACAATATTAGTACGGCAGAGCGTCCCGAATATCTCCCCTTTCTTGTTGAAAATAGCGTGGCAATAGTTATTATAGTATTTGAGATAATAATATTAGTTTAGGTACCAAGGACCCGAACCGTTCCATCAAACCGAGAAATCGTTACCATCCGCCGTATTTAACCGGACATAAAACAAATACCAAAATACTAATAAGCAACTAAAAAAGGTGTCCAATGAGTGGTACGTTACATACCATGGCTAACTTATCTTACCAAATACGTGATGATGGGGTAATTTCAACGAGTATTATGTATGAGCCACCTGATTATCCCTTACATGTTGGCTGAGAATATGATTAGGTGCATACCAAAAATTCATAATCTGCTCTATTTACGTGGTACGACTTAATTAACAGCTTACCTGGTATATATGCAGTGCCCCATAGTAACGTATACCAAAGCAATTACATATATCTCAGGTACATAGCAAAATCTAATAACTAAGCCAATTGCTGGGTTAACTACCTCTATGTTAGCAATAAGCTGTCTATATAAAGCTACCTAGGTTAGATACCTAATCTACACTAGCAGAGCGGACGAATATCAAGGGTTAGATATTGCAACTTCACCTTTCGGTGCAACCAATGACGTTTTTTACTGGACGCCATGTTACAGAGAGACACAACTCCCGAATTAACGATTGGTTGAGCAGATATCATTATCTAATACTCCTAAGGCTTATCTTGGTCACAGCGGGGGATAGGTCGTTGTATCGTCTCCTCAATCACAGTCGCGTGTATCTGCATGACCCAAGCCCAGCTAGTATTATAGCCATGCAGATATAGAAACCATCCATGACTGCGCATAGGTTGGATAAGCCAAACCCGCTGATCTTTATGGTAATACTAGCTTGGTCAACCAATTTTATTATTATTAACCATGGATTTGTCGCATCACCTCTCTCTCTCTCTCTCCTTATTACTCATAAACGGCGAATGTGCTTGGTATATTGGGCTTACCCGCAAGATAATTGTAACCATAAGCGGATAGATCGTATAGAATGTTTATATAACATCTTACTGTGGTCTTTATACGTATTTTCCTACGAACGCTAAATTTACCTAGTACCTAGTCATATCTTCTACCTCGAGCGGCTTTATCGGTAGGAAAAGGCCTGGTAAACATCACGATGCTTAAGCGAACAAAAACTAGGACATGGCTAGGAGCATTCGTGCCAGAGTCGTCGGCATGCCTTTCCTTCTTGTTGATGTTCTGCTCGATAGCGCAGTCAACTGTAAGTATAACCCCCAATGTTGAGGTTGATTTACTAATCGTTGTGGATATTCCCTCACGAGTAGACGGGCGGATATGACGGCTCCATGTTGAACGGATTGAATATTCTGCCCTCGTATACGGATTACTTCCAACTAATTCCGGCGACAACGGGTCTAAATACGGCTTCTGTATTCATTGGCGGCATTCTCGGCACGCTCGTCTCCGGCATCATGGCTGATAGACTCGGCCGACGTCCAGCCATGTTTTGGGGGTCCGTCATCACTCTGATCGGTACAGCCATTCAGGCGGCAGCCCAGAACATTGCCATGTTCGTCGTCGGACGGATTATTCTGGGCTTTGGAAGTTCCATTTCGGGCGTGTCTTCCGGTGTGTTCCTATCTGAGACTTTTCCCAGCAGCTTACGTGCCTGGGGGCTCGGGATGATGAACGATTTCTATTAGTAAGAGCTCAGTCGACAGAAGATATAATAATAATAGTTCATCTCGGGAACTAACTAAGGTTATTTAACAGCGTAGGAGCATTGATAGCGTCTGGGGTTACTTTAGGGACTGGGCAGTGGCAATCAACAGTAAGAATATTGGTCTAAGTCATGGATTGAACTGTTCGGCTGATCAAATATCAAGTGGGCGTGGCGGCTTCCATCGTTGATACAGGGTATTTTTTCGCTTTTTTGCATTATCATACTACCTTTCGTGTAAGCTTCACCATCTGTCAAAGCCTCGGTCTATCCTAACCAATCGAACAGTCCTGAATCACCGAGGTGGCTTTGCCATCAAGGATATTTTGAGGACGCGCGGATTTCCGTAGCGCAAACAAACTCCAATGGTAATCTGCTAGACCCCGTTGCTATCGCAGTGTATAAGGAGATTCTCGACGCCCTCGAGTGGGAGAAGAAAGAAGGCCGGTCAATGAGTCCAAAGGAGATTATCAAAACCCCTGTCACGAGGAAGCGATTCCTCATCGGAATGTCCGCAGGCCCCTTTTCATGTGTCGCTGGCAACATTATCGCCTCGTACTATTTAGGTGCTGAGCTTGAGACCGCCGGAATTACCGATTCAACAGACCAATTGAAGGCTGTAGGACTGCCCTTACCTCTACTAATTGTACAAATTCGCTCACATCGAATAGAATGTCGTATTAAATGTTTGGTGCCTTCTGTGTGCCTTGGTCGGTACGCACATGGTGTCTCAGTGGGGCCGAAAGCCCACGGCTCTCATTTCGGAAGCACTCCTCGTTATATGCCTCTTTATAATCGGAGGGCTTTCCAAGATGTATGCTGATAATCCCGCAAGCGCTTCTCAAAGCCTCATATATGGAAACGTTGCGGTGATGTTCCTATTCCAGGGATTTTACTCTGTGGCTTGGACACCATTGCTTTACCTCTATCCCCCAGAAGTCTTTTCGGGTATGTAAACTCGATCTTTAAGCCAGGTAGTAATAAGCTTGGCTCCGCTGTTTGCCCATTTTGTGGTATGCGCTTCTGGGGCATGTGCTAATAAATATATAGTTCGTAAACATACTCTCCCCTGTCTTCTTACTCTTCATTTTGGACGGAATTTGAAGATGGGGATTTCCAGAGGTAGCATCAAGTTCACTAACAATATACGATAGTACTCTATTAGAGCCAATGGCCTAGCTGCCTCGACACTCTCTCTAAACACACTTGCGTAAGTTTCTAGATCCCGACTAAAGGTGTAAAGGTGTACTTGAATACTGATAATATTCTTAGATGTGTCTTCGTATTCATTATGCCCATCGGCCTGAACAATATCGGATGGAAGATGTATATGATTAACGGTTCTTGGGATATTGTTATCGCTATACTTATTGTGAGTACCTGGTCACTTCTAAAGAATTTGAGTAACTTATGTCGCTGACATCCCCCTTCACTGTGTTAAGGCGGTATTCTGGGTCGAAACGAAGGGCAAGACACTGGAAGAAATAGACGCCCTGTTTGAGGGCGAAAAGCATTCTTCCGTCCCTGACGTTGAGATGATTCGGACTGGACAAGCCAAGCTCGACGCTGACACGATGGAGCTGCCGAGTCTGTATTAGTTATTAATTCATTAATGTTCGCAGAACTTGTCAGGGGTTTCGTCTTTTTGAAAGGATCAGGGTTAATAGAGAGTAAGACTTTATCCTCATATTAGTTCAGAGAATAAGTAATTGAGCGAGCGAGTGAGCAATTAACCATATACTAAGCTGCCATTGTATTTAGATAGAGTGGTTCGTGCGAAGCTCACCCACATACTTTTCTATGCATAGGTAGGTAGGTACTTATCAATCACTACATCACTGTCACACATATGACCATACGCTCATATAGTAGGACGGCGGTTATAAAGCCCTATTCTAAAGGCCTAGAGCTCCTAGCTTCGACTTATAATATATTTTCTTTACTACCCTTCAAATGTTTTAGATACGTTTTACTCCATAGTAAGCGCTCAAACGCCTGACAGTAGTCAATACCGCTCGTTAGCCTAAATGACTGTATCTACCCCGATATTGCCAGCTAATCCTTTGCTAATCTGTTATACTGTATGTATCGTAGTATTCAGTATGCTAATTTTGAAGTGGTTGAGAATGCTCCAGGCTATTTCAGGCTATTTTAACATCGTCCAGGCCACCCGGGAATGAGAAGTATGAAATCTATACGCAATATAGGAAAATAAGGAAAATAAGTATTAAATACTAACCCCTATAATCAAATAAGATAAGAAAGCCCCAAATAGATCAAGAATTGGATATGTATTCGGAAAACAGAAGAGGTAAAGCAATTGAACTGGTATGCTTAGCCTCATAAGCCTAGAACATATACCCAGTACTCTGCCAAGCCTTGGAATTTGGAGAAATATTGGTCTTTCTTTATTAGAGGCTTATATTCACATGGGGACGATGGATTATACTACCCCAAACATGTCATTCTCCTCATTACCCCAGTCGAAGATGATTATAACGGGGTTTAATATAGCGATGCGGAGAAATTGGAATCGGTGTTGCGGGGTTAATTAACACGAAGGTCGCTCTTGGCAGAAGACTTATGAACTACTTATAAGCCTTGGGTGGTTGAGATGGAGCACATGGAGATTATCAGACCGGTATTGCACATACGCTCGGAGCTGCAGTCCACGGTGAAAGATGCTCGGTCTAGATATGCGCCTCTACAGCAGGCTATTGCTCATCACTGCAGTTACAGCACAGGCAAAGTATATTGTGCCTGGAGCAAGATGGCGGGATACGGAAAATAACCTGGTCAATGCCCACGCGGGTAACGTCGTCTTGGAGAACGGCACATTCTGGCTGTTCGGCGAGTACAAGATCGAGGGGCAAGAAGAGGGTGGCGGTGTTTCGGTTTACAGCTCTGAAGATTTGGCTACTTGGACTTCTCATGGCCTGGCGTTAGGTAAGTCAGGTTTAATTATAACTGCAGGAAAATAGATGGAAAATAAATTCTAATTGAAACAATAGAACCTATCTCCTGGCACCCCTTTATCTCACCTCAGAACATTATCCAGCGGCCCAAGGTTGTGTACAGCGAGTCGACAAACCAGTATCATGTAGGCTACCCCTAACTCATTGGGCATACTCATCAGTATTAATATAATCCGTTAGATGTGGTGGCACGCCGACAATGCTACGTACGGGCGTCTACTGCAAGGACTCGCAGTCTCGGATACAATCGGTGGACCCTACAGTTTCGTCAGTGCTCAAGCTCCTTTGGGTAATTGGTCGCAGGACTTCGGGATGTTTACCGACTACAAAGATGGAAAAACATATGCGTTATACTCGAACGGTGACAGTTCAGAGGGCCGAGACGTGTATCTGGCTTCGTACAATAAGGAAATCACGACGCTTGAAGAAGTGGTTTACCGCTTTGATAAGTTCGATCTCGAAGCTCCTTCTATCGTACAGACTGAGCATTCTTATTACGCCTTATTGAGTCATAAAACGGGATATAGACCCAATAGTGAGTAAATCGCTCAACATATTCTAATATCGTGTCATGCCCTCCACGTATTGCCATATTAGTATTGGAGTCCTATTAATAAGACCAGGGTTTGCTAATTACTTTAGACGTCGTTGCCTTTCGAGCGGACAGCTTGAGTGGCCCCTGGTCCCAGCCCTGGATTGTCGCACCGCTTAACACGCGTACTTTTAACTCACAGTCCGGCTTTACGTTGAGAATAGCAGGAACCGAGAAGACGACATATTTATACTTGGGCGACCAGGTGAGTCATTTCTCTATAAGGAGTATTCCGAGAAAGTAGAACTAACGGATTGTAGTGGGATTCTAATTCGCTTTGGGAATCTCGCTATATATGGCTACCCATAAACATCGACGATGACAAGAAAACCCTTCAGTTGGAATGGCACGATGTCTATGATCTAGATGTGTATGTGCTGGTCGGTCTCACTCCTGCGCAGATGAACCCTAACGTACGCTCTTAGGAAAACCGGAAACTGGCAGCCAGTGGATGGGATCGTATACTCTGCCAAAGACGCGACAACAAGCGGAAACGCTTTCAAGCAAGAAGCTGTAAGTCAATGATATCAAGGAGGTATTACAGTTTGACTAATACTCGCGTGTATTGTAGAACTTTGCCACGGATGGAGTTATCTTGACCGGGATCGAGGGCAACGACAGCACAGTCACCTTCCAGGGCATAGAGGGAACAGGAAAACCTCAATGGGTTTCATTCTACTACCAGAGTGAGTACCTCACGTCAACATCATGTTAGGGTCATATTCTAACAGGGACAAAGACACCGACGATATGGGCTTCGGGGATCAACGTAAGTTTATGACTATCACCACGGCCATTCAACTACTAACAAACTTCTTAACAGCCGGCGGCTCGCCAGATCGAATTGGTGGCAAATGGCAGCTCCGCCGCATTTCTAGCGTTGTCGTGAACGGGAATACCGAGAACGTCGAGACACTGTACCAGAGGGATACCCACAAGGGAATCATACTGTCGACGCCACTCCAACTAACTCTAGAGGAAGGATCGAATAACACTATCACAGTGGGAGGCCTATATAACGGGGTTGAATACAAGGGTGCCGATCTTGATAAGATCATCGTCTATCCTCCAGAGAGTTAGGATCTTGACCTTGAAAATATGCTGGATATGCCAGACGCCGGGCAAGTCTATTTGTTATTATATTAAAACTAATAGTATTAAATCTGACTATTACTTGTAGATATACCTAAGTGTTATATATACCTTAGGTACACTTATAGTAGAGAAGTATGGCTTTTTAGGGCACCTGGAGGCCGTCTACTCTATATCTCCATCCCAATTCCGTAAAATGTTCTCAACGCGTAAATTTCCTAACTCGTCTCCGTAGTCGCCATGTAGCTCATATTACGCGTTCCAGGTATATGTGTTGGTTAAATATATAATCATGGGATTATACGTTGCCGCACAGGGGGTTCGTACACCAATTAGGTCGATGTAACCGTGACGGCCGGCCTGATAACACCTTTCTCTAGGTCCTCAGGATTTTCACCAACCTCTTTCATTAAAGCTGGCGAGTCATTATTATCCTCAGCTTCAAATGTCTCTCTATGCTTCTTTGCCCTTGCGACCCGGCGTTCGTTTTTCTCCTGATCCTCACGCATCTGTCGGATAATAGTGCTCTTAGAGCGGATCTTTTCGCCGTATCGATAAAAGATGATGGGAATGGGAATCATGGCCGCTTCTAATAGACCTAGGAGCGTACCAGCCCACTGCGGAGTAAGTTTTGCATACATGGCGGGACCAGCGAGAGGTAGGGTACCACCAAATATACTACGAGTTACGGCGTTGCCCGCTAACGCGGACGCAGCGTAGATACCATACGCGCCAGCTAGATAGTTAGAGCCATAGATGAAGCTTAGCGTGTTGCCTGCACCAAAAGGAATACCAAAGGCGATAGGGATAGCCCAATGGATGGTCGTAGGTAGACATGTCCAGCTAAAGACGAGCTGACCGATGGGAACAAGTATCGCACCAATAATCATAACACGCGCAGTCGCTTCAGGAGGTGCACGCCCAGTAACGGGATCCTTAGGATGAGTGTTGATAATTTTACGCCATAGCGGTTCGGCGACAATGGCGAATGTACAACCGATACCAATTCCAATAAATGCAAGACCAGAAGTGCCTGGACCCCAGCCACGGTGTTGGGAGAATACGATGGGATAGGCGACAAAGCAGAGGTAGAGAATTCCGTAAATTAGGGAAATCCTAAAATGAAATGTTAGCAGGACAGAGCCAATATCACCCCTAGACCATTTCCGCCTTTCTTATAGTTGAATAGTTGAAGTTGTTGTAGGTGTAAAAGAGGTTGTTGACCTAAATTTCGGTACGTACCGAGATATCCCCACAAAATTTAGCTCGCGCTTGCGTTAAGGCCAGTGTCACGAGATCACGTGGCCAGCCAAAAATAGCTTTATATGGGGATTTCAGTTACGCAGCATAAATAGGAGCCATAAATAAGGCGAGAGTTCGGGGTAACAAGTTCAAGGTAACAAACACAGGTAACAAACACCTGAACTCTTTGATATACGCGATCTTAGACATGTAAGACATACATACCAGATATTGAAAAACCATAGGATTGGTTCTTTAATAAAGAACTCGAAGGGCCTTAACAGACAAATCTTCACAAGTGCCGCCTTAGACAGCTTCTGGTCGTATCGACACCACCATCTTTCGTCGTCGGTTTCCTTACGCATTTTTGCAGCTCTCTTTTGGAGAATTATAGGAGCATATGTCTCCTTGGTGAAGAAGACGAGGAAAATACCGACCCCGGCAAGTATAAGAACAAGCCAGTTATCCCATCTCCATCCTAGGTATTGGAAAACGTAGCCGCCGATCACAGGGCCCAGCCTATGTCAAAGTTAGCTTTCTCATTCTCCCCTTGGAAAACCAATAGAGTAAGGTTTCCTACACTGGACCATTTAATGGGGCCGTTGAATATAACGACATAAACAGAGCGCGAGTTTCTTCCGTCGAGATGTCCACAATAGTTCCTGGACTGTTGGCTATCATCGCGCTCCCAAACATCGCCCTAGCACCTGGGTCAGTACTTTCCTAATGGAAGTCCAAGTATTGGCCACTTACGCGAAGAATCGGACCACGAGAATCTCGGCTAGCGAGGTTGCTAGACAGGTCGGAATTACCATGGCCGCGAAGCAGATCAAGCAAACGATATACACGGGCCTGCGTCCATAGAGCTCACTTGCAGGTGCTACGAGCAGACTACCTGTTGCAAGACCGAACATATAAGTGGTAACGCCGAGAGTTACTATAGTGGTAGAAGAATCGAACTCTTTTACCAAACCAGGGGTCGACGCCGTGTAACTAGTGCTGTAAAGCACGATTACCCACGACGAAAAACTAATGGCGAAGATAACAAACTATAATGACGAGTTAGCAATTACTTCTTTCAGCAAGTGACTTTGGAATAGGGGTTAGGTATGATTTTAGAGTAGTAGCCTCCTTCATCAGCTTGATGAGAGAATATTGTTTCTCCGAGACAAAGGGGGAAGCGATTATCAATATCACATACCGACCGGTACCATAAAGGCCAGTATCGAGGGTTTTCCGGATCGTTCTCCTCAAATTCAACTTCGTAGTCTGGGAGTCGCGATGCCGAGGTGCCAACGCTGGTCGCCGTACGTACGCGAGTGACCTCTTCGAAAACTTGTATTCCTGGTGAGATTGCCAACTCCAGCGGCGACAATGGATCCGTATCGTCAGAGGCATTCGATGCGCGGCTCGAGTGGCTTAGACGCCTATGCCGGCTCCGCTTCTCCTCAATTGAGTCCTCGCGCGATTGCATCTCACGCTTCTCTATACGCTTAGGTTCCCTCTTGTCCTTGCTAAGCCCGTTTTCTGTATCTTCATGGCCTGCCATTTGGGCGTCTCACCAATGTAGCAAGCGGGTAGTCACACGGAAGAAAAGCAGCCAGGAACGGTCTGTAATAACCTTTACGCCAACTTGCTGCGGAGACCAACCGGAATAAAGTCGGTCAAGACCCCTGAAACTAACGATTGAGAACGGGACAATATATATGATAGACCATATATATAATAGCCCATAGGCCTAAACATATGTATTTTAAATTTAACAATAGCAAGACATAGGTCTAGTTAAGAAATAAAAACAAAGGGATTATTTACAGTTAACTAGAGGATGAGTTGGAAACAACCGGGAGCTACTAATCGAGTACTAGTAACTGGGTACAAAGTCCTATCACGGGCCTATTTGCGTGATTTTGCCTAGGTATACTACGCCGAACTGATTAATAAACCCCTCAGGAATAAAGAAGGCCATGTATAAGGCTGTAACGTTAGCTAGCCACCCCTGCCGTCTTTGATAGAACGGACCGCTGTGTGATGTTCTGCATGCGCATGGGAGGCGGAAAGATATCACCTTTGTTCCCTCGTGCGCTCTTAGCTTCCCATATGTCTATCTTTCGTGGCAACCTTGTCAGTATGTACATGCATGAGTGGCCCGTCAGACTGGGTAGTAGATGTTGATATGCACGTTAGGGGCAAAGTCCCTTGATTTTAGAGAATCACATCATTGTTCCGCCCTTACACACCACGAGCTATTCCTTACGAACATTGATATTCTTACAAAGAGCCGAAATCGTAGCCGAGGCTGAATGTCGAAACACCTCCCTCATATTCTTACATGTTGGCACTTACATACCCAGCAAAATCCATGAGTCCATTGTGGCATTGTTCTACTTCCCGGAGAAGTCCCTAATCACTTCGATCATAATAGAAAAAGAAAAAATCCTTAGGCGCCATTGCAGATTGGGACACGCTAATGCTCTACTAGGAAGGTCGGAAAGAAAATTTCTAGATGCTTTGAGGCTCTTAACGAAAAGTCATCGACCTCGAGGTACCTCAAAGCGCAGTCTTTACCCTTTGCCGAAATTCATCTTGCCTTTTAGATATTAAAATTCCTAACATCCAAAATTGCAAAATATTTATTTACCTTTCACTAGCAACTACCTAGAAAATCGAGTCGAATACCTACCGACTTTACCCCGCCTAACATAAAGAATATACATACAGGAGTACTTAGGCGTATCTCCACCGATAGAAAACTTACCGAGGTAAAAATGTATGTAATAAGTGGGCTCTTGAGATCGACCCTGATGGCTACGGGTCAGATTGTAAAGCCTCGATTTGGACTTCTTATCTCTTATGTTTTCGGGTGCGAGCGTGTCACAGTACGTTGTTCGTACAAATCCGATTGACTGAATCCTCTGTACCATTCCTGAAATGATATGTTTTGACTCTTTTGAAAATATTGATTTGTTGATGTAAGTGTAGCACACTCGCATCTGAGAACGTGTAGAACAAGTCCGTCGCTAACCGGGATAAATATCAACAAGCCGATTCGCTGAGATCTCCAGGTTAGCTGGTATAGGTAGGTAGTCATGTCATTCATCTTAAAAAGATGCCAACGATAACGGAAACTTTTCAGGTCGACTCCCGATGCAGGTAGAGCCGCTTCCGAACCGAAACATCTTTCCTTGGCATACCTATACGTATTCTTCTCTAGTGGGACTCATTAGAGAAACTTACTTCAAGACGCGCGTCGAATCAATTGGTGGCTGTAGAGCAACTGTAAACCAAAGAGCAATAGCGGTATGTATAATATTGAGCGGCTTCTAGTACACCGTTGCCGATCCTCGGCAGAAGCCAAGAATACCAGCCTTTGCAAGTAATTCGATAGGAGAAAAAAAGGCTCGTCAATCTAGACTATAAAGAATTGAAAGATAACCAAGTCTGTATCTCACCGCTTCTGAACGAGGTACTGCTTCAAAGTGGCTGGTCCGGGGCTTTTCCGTGTCAAGCCGGACTAACAATGCATTATTCACGTGGCAGTTACGGGATCTGCCGATAATAATTTACCTTTAGCTACCGGGAGTGTGCCGGCCGACATTTTTCGGGAAGGGACTAGGTTAGGAGGTAGGTATGTAACCTAGTGTATTGATAGAAGTTTTACCGGGTACCTGTTATTGGTATTGTCAACATTCATACAGGGTACAGTGTATATATGCATCTCATCTGGACTGTCTGACTTGTAGTTTAGGCTCCCAGGCTCCCCAGGCTCCGCATCAGGATAAATTAGTTGATGACTCACTCGAGTCTGCGCCCAAGCTCATCTCATGTAGGTTAGTTCTTATTAGTGTAACTAAACTTCCTATACATTGCGATAATTTTCTGAGGCTACGTACCTAGGTAAAAGAGAAAAAAAAGAAAGAAAAAACCCTCATGTCCGTTATCAGTATTAGGAGCAACCCTAAGCGGCATCCTACTCTTATGTTTTGATATCAAAATTGTCTAATCCGTAGAGAATCCATGTTTTGAGATTTGCATGCCTTAGGTATTGTAGCTAAAAATAAAAATAAAATAAAAATGTAGTTGTCTGCCTGTCTGCCTGGGCGTTTAATGAAAAGGAGAGCTATGTAGGTACCGTATGTATTGCAGCCTAAGAATCGATCCAGAAATGTGCTGTAGAACAAGAATTGATTGGATATCAAGCCGCGGGGCATTGGGGACCTACGTCACGCCAGACCACAATAGGAAAAGTCTAAACAATTGACAAGTGTCGAGT